AGTACTGCATAAAAAACACGAGACATTAGCCATAGTGATATATTTATATAATATATATTTAAGCGAAAAAATATTGCTTGGAAGTACTGCATCAAAAACACGAGACATTAGCCATAGTGCTACTGTGTTTACCCGAAAAAAAGACCTAGCACGAATTTTAAAAATAATTTTAATATAAGCCCTCCCCATAAAATAAGACCAAGTCAATACCGCAAGATTTTTTGTATCCCCCTTACACGTTTTAAATAATTGATAATAATCTATGTTTTGCAGTTGTTTTGAATAAGAACGTGTTATTCATAAGTAAATGGATATCGGTTTTCATAGTTTGTATATTTGAAAATCTCTACTTTTTAATCTTGTATTTAATAAATAAAAATATAAGACATCCCCCGAAAATAAGCCCTAGTGTTATTTTTCGGAAGAAAATTGAAATAAGACCCAGTCCTATTTTTGGGGGAACATGGTATATCTGTATATGGAGCCATACGTGATTTTGTATTTTTTTTTCATGGCTTTCAACAGGTTAGTAAAGATCTCCAAGTTACAAGAAACCCTAATAGTATTATATGACTGTCTGAAAAGTAACTACTTTGAAATTTGTTGCCTGTAAGTGCAGTTAAAAAAGTAGATTCATACAGCGAGGTGATTTGGGGACGCAATGTCTGAATGTTGTTGGAAGTGGATTAGTCATAGTTTTATTGCATATAACAGGTTTGTAATGACGGTTAAGTTACTTTACAACAATAGTACCATAAGATTTGTTTCAAACTTATTGACACCTTTTTGGGGAATTAATGTTTTTTGTTCAGTATATATGCTGATATGAGTCATGATCGCAGTGAAACAGATACTACTCGACAACTGAGGAATGTATACAAGAATTAGGCTGTAAGAAGCTGGTATCATATCAATTTGATCATAGATTATGAATAAGAAAGCTAATTTGTAGTTTACATTTACCAGGTTGGGAAAAATATTTCAAGCTTATCTTACACAAATATTTATAAGTAATACTCATGTCAGACTGTATACATTTAAGCCTAATATTACAATGTATATTATTTATTCAGAGCATTCATATTAGATAACATTAGCTGACACACTGGTCTTTTCATTTAAGACGGGTTTTGGGGAAAGCTTTGATTCACACTTTTATATTCGTTCGTCATTCAAATGATTAGAGTAGAGATTTCAGTATATATTTGTTTTTGAGATTGTTCTGAAATGTTTTACGGTTGAGACAAAGCTAAAAATACTTATTAATATTCCTTATATTTTTATATTCAATTGAAGCATGCATAACATATTTGTATTATAGTCTTGTGATGATTACTACTACATACATAATTGAATCTGATTTCAGGGATTGTTTAAATTGATAATGAAACCAGGAATCAAGCGAAAAAGTTTTTCCGAGAAGACATAAAAATATGTTCCAAACGAGATTCCATTACAAAGATTAAATACTAAAATAGATGGTATAGTATAATGGTGAGATATGGTATTATTTGCCTCGATCCCATTATTGTAACAATAACTGTACTGATGAGACCCGAATACAATCTCCATAGTTAAATTTTTTTGTTCTAGTCAAGATTGTGTCTAATAGTCAAGTCTAAATATTGTACATTTGTTTTCCTAAAATAACATTTGCAAGTTCTTTCACAATTTTTTTGATTATTTGCTATTTTTATACTGTATTTGGAAAAATTTCATTTTCAAGAGATGTTTCTCGCAAGATGTTTTTTGCAAATGGTGTTCCCTATTAAGCACTCTTTTTTATACAAGTGTAAGATGTGAATTTTTTGCCACTATCGGTTTCATTTTTAAATATTGCCTCAATCACTAATTATTGTAAAAAATATATATGTAATGCCTAATATGTATTAATTGTATCACATGATAAAAAATTGTTCAGTATGGCTTTAACAAATAACATAATTTTTGTGACATCTCAGGTGCTCACGTCGTAACAACATGCAAACAATTGTCGTAGTATCCATGTTATTGATTTTGCTTCTCCAAAACATCGCGTACATAAAACTATGATGATATTATGATTGATGGAAGATTTATTCAGATTCTACGTACTTCAATGTGAGTGTGACGTATTGTTTGTACTGAGCTTTATAGCAGGACATAAGGCAACGATAAGTAAACACAAAATATAATATAAAAATTGGCCCATCCAATTTGTTTCCTAACATAATGAGTTTTTGATAATGAAGTGATCTGCGATGTATACAAATCAGGGATGGACCAAGTTGTCTCTAGTCCAGGGGTTCGCGAACCCCCGGGGTTCACGAGAAGATTTCATGGGGTACTTGGATGGCAGTCGAGTTTCTGTATGTTGCTGTTTTTTAATATCCTTAATTACTACCAGAGGAAAATGCGTGTCGTTTGAAACTGGATGCCACTTGAAACATAGATTTTCCCTGATCTTGCGTTGTTGTGATTGTGACGTAAACAATGTGAAATTTACGGCTTTGCAGGAAAACTGAAATTTCCAAATACAGCGTGAATTAACATAATTTAAACATATTTTTTTTGTTTTATAGCTTGGAGAGAAGAAGAAATTAAATCATGGTGTTTGCTATGATGACAACAAAACGGACTCTATATAATTTTGGTTTTATATTGTGTAGTAGGAGATACTCCTCAACCTTACCGATGTAGTTGCTGAAAACAAATTTGAAAAAATGAATTTTGCGAATTTCCCCTTGAACCTCTAAATCAGTTCCAGTCAAAAGAGTCTTACAATTTCCTTGCTTATGATTATCTAATATGCGTTTGTACTACAGTTACTTTTCTGATATACCTATGATGACTTATATTGAAAAAACAGTCTTATGATTAAACATTTATCCTTGATATTCATTACGCTGAATATAATTAAAGTAATTATCGATAATAGATAAGACTCAAGATGCTAACAAAATGGACTCCCTCGAAGATGAATCTTATTTCCAAAAAGAGTATGTAGGGATGCTACCAATCTGGTGTTTGCATATTTTTCAATAAATGAAACCGTTAATCAACTGGTGTAAGAAATGTTTGCATGCATTTTATGGAACCTTGAGTCCTTCACTTTAAGCACCTTAAGTTAGTCACGCTTTATGAGTGTACATTGCCCATCTTTACTGTGACGTAATAGTCACTTATTCCCCCGCGCTTTACGGCCTTCTAGAACTTTCCTTGCCACGAGGTAGACGCTTGTTGCGCTTTGCTTATTAGGGAGGATTCTGCGCGACTGCAGAAATTATAGCTTATAGGTTTTACTATTTTCTGGTTATATTACTAAATGATTATCAGGTAAGAATTCTAGAATTGATATTAATATGTTTATCCATATATTGTCCGATAGGTTGTGAGGATTGCTGTATTTTGTTGTATCAAATAGGTCTGTTGCTTATTGTTTTTCTTTGTATTATTGCATACTTATGGCTGTTCTTTGAGTCCTTGTCAAAAACAGTCAATTTATCACTAACACTAACGCCGACACTAACCCTAACACTGTTATCACTGCCGTCAACATTAGTTGTGTTTAAACAAGATAAAATGTAAAGTTTCTTTCAACACAAGTCTACGGAATTGTTGGTGTAAAGGTTGCAGTGTGTGTTGGTCAGTTGGTGCATAGATTGAAGACATTATTTGGGGACTCAAGGGACAGGACGCGTCTCCAGTTACCCTGTATCTTTGAGTCGCAGTGGGACACATTAGGTACCGTACCCTACGCGTACTTATCCCACATCGAAATAAATTGACTGATGGCTTTAAATGATGAAATTCTTCAATCTGCTGTGTCTCACACCAGCACAGCATTGGAAATCCAGCCACTGGAAACAATTCGACTCGTTCATGATCGAAACATCACTACATTACTTACCAGTCTTGATAGACTGATGAATATTCCAAATAATCGAAAAAATGTAGTTGCTGCAAAAGATAGACTGGATAATGCAGTGGCTACTTGGGAGGAATATTTGAACAATTACATTACTTTGCATTCAGCAACAACAGAATCTGATGTCATGAATATTCCAAACCCTTCACAGTATTTAACTCGGCTAAATGATATGAAAAATTCATGTAATATGAAATATCGACATTATCAACAAGAATGCCTTGCTAGTGATGAGTCCCAAGCTAGCACAAAAAAATCTAAACATTCGCACTCAAAGACTAATAGCACAACTTCTTCCACAAAAGCTAGATTACTGGAGCTTGAGGCAGCTGAAGAACTAGAAGAAGCCCAGCTGCAACTTAAAATTAATAAAGCGTATTATAAGCAGCAACGTGCCAAATTTCTATCACAATCCAGTAGCACAAAATCGTCAAGAAGTTCATTGATTGAAATACAAGCTCTTGACGAAACACTGTTTGAACCACCCCCAGCGTTGAATTTGCGAAATTATGTTCCGGAATATTCTCGTAACGTCATGCAACCTTCTGTTCAAGTTTCAACAGGAGGTGGAATAACTGACATTCTCAGCTCAGCAATTGACACTTCTACAGGTATGGCCATTACAATGCCTTCTGCTAGTATTACGGAGCTTACGTTGTGTAATTCGACTCCTGTTATCAGTAGGATCCAACAGCTTCATAGAATTGGAATTAACATTGGCACCTTACCAGTTGTATCTTCAGCTATCCACTATAATATTGCACCATTACAAAATTTGCCTGTTATGACGACCCCAGGTATCTCTATGGGGCCGGCGTTATCTCACCAAACTGCAAGAAGGAATTTGTCATTTCCCACCGTCTCATCAAGTTACCATGATAATACGTTACCTGCAAATCCCCCAATGAGGCCGGCATCTATAGGCACATCATTTTCGTATCCTGCTATTTGTGAACCAACTTTTACATACCCACAAATTTTTCGCCCTGTGACTTATCCTGAGCCCCTTCCTACCTTGCCTACCCGACCCATTATGTCATCAATGGCCAGAGATGACTGTTGGATGCCACCGCCTTTAAGGTCCTATCTTTCTCCTAGTCATGCACTACCACCAGTAATTTCAAGACCTGATCCTCACACTTCAGTACTCCCGGAATATCCATCTCAACAGTTGGATCATAATTATCCCAGAAGAGATGATTTGTATGTTTTGGCAAACACCATGAAACAAGGCTTCACACTGCCTAAACTTGACCCCATAACATTTGATGGTGACCCCAAAAGCTATCATGCATTCATGCGTGGATTTGACAACATTATTGGTCATCACGCCTATGAACCTGCGGTGAAATTAGCTCAACTTATACAGATGTGCACTGGTGAGGCCAAGGATGCTATTAAGCATCTTGTAATTGTCGATTCTCCAAGCGAAGGATATCAAGCAGCACGAGACACCTTACTGTATCGATTTGGAATTCGTACACTAGTCATTGACGCTCACATCCGCCAACTGACAGAAGGACCTAGAATAAGAGCCAATGATACTAAAGCACTGTGTCGACTTGCGTCACAGATGAGAAACTGTTTTATTATTCTGACACAGTGGAAAGCTGAACAAATGCTGGATGCACAAGCTTATCTCAAAGATATATTTCGTCGTTTACCACCAACATTACAAGCAGATTATGTACATGACACTTCTTGGAAGAATCATCCGATTCCTTCATTCACTCATTTATTGGAATTTGTTGAACTGAGAGCCCATCTCAGTAATAATTTTTATGGACGTTTAATGGCAGAAAATGACAACAAGCCCAGGGCAGTACAAAATTTTAAACCTCGCTTTGGAAAAATGTCTGCCTATTCTACAATCAGTTCTTCAACATCACAGAAGAGGAATTCATCACCTGCTTACAAACCAACACATTACAATGGAAGACAACAAGCCCATGGTGCTAGCCAAAAGCACCCACAAACTTTATGTTTATGTTGCAAGAACGATCACTCTTTATATCGTTGCGCAACATTCAAACAATATGACCTGCAACATCGTCGTGATTTCATTCGAGAGAACAATTTATGCTTCAACTGCATGAGATCCGGACACATCGTCAAGGAATGTCCGTCTCAGAAACGTTGCCAAGCTGATGGGTGTACACGAAAGCACCACACACTACTTCATCAGAATGAAATGGCAACCAGACCACGATCACCTGTGACCGGAAATATACCCACGGACACTAATAGTAAGGTCAATTCAACAAATGTAAGTTCTTATTTTTCCAATGTTGTCAACTTTTGTGATACTGATTGTTTTGTTAGGCTCATGGTTGTCCCTGTTGAGATGAAAGTTTGTGATTCGAACCATAAGTCATTGACATATGCCTTCCTAGATTATGGGGCAACTAGATCCTTGTGTTCCACTAAATTAGCTAGGGATTTGGCTCTCAATGGTGAGCCAGAGAGATGTACAATACGGACTGCCACTGGTCCAAAACTTCATGATGGCATGAAAGTTTCATTTACTATTATGGGTGTCCTTGAACCACAGACCGTTGATGTTCACCATGCCCTGACCTTTGACTTACGGGACCTAGAATTTCCCCTATTGAATAAACCAATTGATTTGCTTATTGGGGCTGATGTCCTGGGTCGTTACCCAATCACTGAAACCCGGGTGGGTGCAGCTGGATCCCCCACTGCATTACACACCATCCTAGGTTGGGCCCTTACTGGCCCAGATGTAAGCATTGCAGAGACCAATGCAGAAGTCAATTATTTGAATACTGTACAACCATTTGATTGTAATTTTACTGATTTTTCTAATTTTAATGAACCTATTTGTCATATGTGTGCTCATGATTTTGCTGATGTCAATGCTAACCCATGTATTACTCAGCCATCCCAAGATGATAGAAGGGCACTTGATTTTATGAACCAAACTGTGACCAAGGTTGATGGTCGGTTTCAAATTGGACTTCCATGGAAGTCAGACACTGTTAGCCTTCCCTATAACCGTAATATCGCTGAGAAGCGACTAGTGCATTTGAAACGTAAATTCATGGGGGACCCTGAATTATTTCAGAAATATAGAGATAAAATTGAGGGTTATATTCAGAATGGTTACGCCGAAGTAATCCCATCACATGCACTCACACCCACAAATAAAACATGGTACATTCCACATCATGCCACACACCAATCTAAATTTAGAGTTGTTTTTGACAGTTCTGCTGAGTGTAAAGGAACTTCATTGAATAAAAATTTGCTTTCTAGTCTTGACAACAACAACATGCAAACAGGAGTGCTCATTCGATTCAGGCAAGAATTGACTGCATTTGTTTGTGACATAAAAGAAATGTTCCACAGAATTAAAGTTTCACCTGAGGACACAGATGCTCAGCGGTTCCTATGGTGGAAGGACCATAATTTGGATAGTGTTCCTATTGACTTTAAAATGTTGTCCCACAACTTTGGGAACACTTCATCACCTTCTGTTGCCATATTTGCGCTACACAAAGTAGCCACAGACAATCTGTCGAATGCAGATGAAATGACAGTACGCACAGTTATGCGCAATTTTTATGTCGATGATGGACTGAAATCTGTCGATGATCCATCAGATGCTGTAAGACTAATCAAACAGCTCACTAAATTGTTAGCAACTGGAGGATTTCACCTCGCCAAATTTATGAGCAATGATGTCAATGTTCTGCAATCAGTTCCAGAAAGTGATCGTGCTCCTGCAATCAGTTCCAGAAAGTGATCGTGCTCCTGCAATCAAAGACCTCAATCTTGAACGTAATTCACTCAGTCGCACCCTAGGTGTACAATGGAACATGCACACAGATGAATTTGTAGTATACGTCAACATTGAACCAAAGGCGCTCACTCGAAGAGGCATTCTTTCAATGGTGAGTCAAATCTTTGATCCTTTGGGTTTTGTTCAACCATTCATCTTACCTGCCAAGCGAATTCTGCAGGATCTTTGTATTGAAGGATACTCATGGAATGACCCCATTACTGGTTTACTAAAGGACCGTTGGGAAAAATGGATCGATAAATTACATGCATCGAATGGCCTGGCGATCCCTCGATGTTACAAACCACAAGAGTTCAAAAGCAACAATATCCAATTACATTGTTTTTGTGATGCCAGCACATCTGGCTATGGAGCATCAGCTTACTTACGACTTACTGGCGACAAAGGTGAAGTTCATTGTTCCTTTGTCAGGGGAGTCGCTAGAGTAACTCCTAAGCAGCCACTGACTATTCCACGATTGGAACTCATCGCTGCAGTTGTGGCTGCTGAGCTTGCCAATTCAATTTTACAAGAACTGGACCATACAGTTGACAGCGTTATATATTGGTCAGATTCCATGTCAGTTATCCAGATGATCAATAATCGTTCTGAACGCTTCAAGACATTTGTGGCCAACAGAATAAACACAATTCCTCTCTTGTCAAAACCACATCAATGGCACCATGTCGAATCTAAGCTGAATCCAGCCGACATTGCTTCTCGTGGTCTAATGCCAGATAAACTAAACAAGGCTGGTATTTGGTTCAAAGGCCCACAATTTATATGGGGAAGTGAAGATGCATGGACCGTGGTTGATGATGGGATTCATGAAGTCCCATGTGACCCACAACTTGCTTCGGAGATGAAAGTTCATTATACTGAACCTATGAAAGATCTCACAGATTCTTCTCCATTACATGAACTGTTATTGCGTTACTCATCATCCGAAAAGCTACGTAGAGCTGTTGCATGGCTACTACGTTTTCGTATATATGCAACTTGGAAATTCTCACATTCTGACAATTCACCACTTTGGGATTTTTATCTGTGGAGGAATTACATTACGCCACCAAAGAAATTATGAAACTAGTACAACAATCATCCCTCTCAGAGGAGCTCAAATTTTTCAAAGATAATACAGGGGCAGACGAGGCACCATCCAATATACAGAACAAAAAGAAACTCAAAACACAATTTTCGAAAACACTTCTTAAATGCAACCCATTTGTACAAGACTGAATCCTGCGTGTAGGTGGACGACTTCGAAACTCTGCTTTACCAGTTGATCAGAAGCATCCAATTATTCTTCCATCATACCATCATGTGACAAAGCTTATTATTACCAAACATCATGAAATGACTGGACCTTCTGGTACATTACACACACTTTCCTCTGTTCGTGGCAAATATTGGATTTTGAAGGGACAATCTGCTGTTGGTAAGGTTGTTCGTGACTGTGTTGCTTGCAACAGACGTTCTGCAAAAGTAGGAGAGCAGTGGATGGCAGATCTACCATTTTCTCGTGTTACTGCAGGTAACCCACCATTTTACTACACTGCAGTTGACCTGTTTGGCCCTGTAAGAATCAAATTGGGGCGAAGCGAACATAAACGATATGGCTGTATATTTTCATGCATGGCTACAAGAGCAATACATATTGAAGTTGTAGAATCCTTGGATACTTCAGCATTCCTGCAAGCTTTCTTCAGGTTTACATCTAGACGTGGGAAACCTGCTCATGTTTATTCAGACAATGGATCCAACTTGGTGGCTGGAAGCAAAGCTATTGCAGATGGTATAAACAAATGGAATTCCAAACAGATTGACACATCTCTATCTCAAAAGGGTATACAATGGCATTTTTCGCCTCCTCTTTCTAGTCACCAAAATGGAGTGGTAGAAAGAATGGTACGAGAGGTGAAAAGAATTCTTCGAGCTCTATTGAATGTCCAGTCTCTCAATGATTACTCATTATGGTCTTTTCTTACAGTAGTGGAGGGAATTCTCAATGATAGACCACTCACACCACTGAGTGATGATCCGAAGGACTTGAATGCCCTTTCTCCCAACTCAATTTTGATAAACAGATTAGAACCGTCTTTACCACCTGATGTGTTTTTTCGAACGGATGAATATAGAAGCGGATACAGACATGTTCAACGATTACTCGATTTAATTTGGCAGCGTTGGACAAAAGAATATCTTCCCCAATTACAGTGCCGACAGAAGTGGCTCAATGTTCAACGCAACTTTCAAGTTGGAGATCTTGTGCTGATGTACGATGACAATTCACCAAGAGGATGTTGGCCCAAGGCAATTGTAGAAGAAACATACCCTGATGATCAAGGAGGTGTCAGACGAGTGAAGGTGCGCACATCCAATTCAACATATGTGCGTGACATAAGGAAGCTTTGTCTCCTTGAAGCTGTTTGATAACATTTACACATTACATATATAGCAATAGCATCCACACCACACATACACAGTTACACATACATAACATACATTCTCACTATGGGAGTATTAGGTGTCTCTTTTGAATTTTTTTTTGAGGGAAATAATTTTTTGGTTTTACCCCCACCCCTTTTTATTTTCGGGGTCTTGCATTGACAATTTCGTTATCTTTATTGATTTGTTACTGTGTTTATCCTTTCAATTGTTTTTGGAAGTCAAGCAAACCTTTCTTGTTTTTTGAAAATCATTTTCCTTGTTATCGATATAACATTTCATATAATTTTCGGGGCCGGTATGTAAGAAATGTTTGCATGCATTTTATGGAACCTTGAGTCCTTCACTTTATGCACCTTAAGTTAGTCACGCTTTATGAGTTTACATTGCCCATCATTACTGTGACGTAATAGTCACTTATTCCCCCGCGCTTTACGGCCTTCTAGAACTTTCCTTGCCACGAGGTAGACGCTTGTTGCGCTTTGCTTATTAGGGGGGATTCTGCGCGACTGCAGAAATTATAGCTTATAGGTTTTACAATTTTCTGGTTATATTACTAAATGATTATCAGGTAGGAATTCTAGAATTGATATTAATATGTTTATCCATATATTGTCCGATAGGTTGTGAGGATTGCTGTATTTTGTTGTATCGAATATGTCTGTTGCTTATTGTTTTTATTTGTATTATAGCATACTTATGGCTGTTCTTTGAGTCCTTGTCAAAAACAGTCAATTTATCACTAACACTAACGCCGACACTAACCCTAACACTGTTATCACTGCCGTCAACATTAGTTGTGTTTAAACAAGATAATAAAGTTTCTTTCAACACAAGTCTACGGAATTGTTGGTGTAAAGGTTGCAGTGTGTGTTGGTCAGTTGGTGCATAGATTGAAGACATTATTTGGGGACCCAAGGGACAGGACGCGTCTCCAGTTACCCTGTATCTTTGAGTCGCAGTGGGACACATTAGGTACCGTACCCTACGCGTACTTATCCCACAACTGGTATGCATGAATCTTGTTTTCTGTTAGGGTTAATGTATAAACGGGAGAAGAGTAGTTTTTTTGTATGTTGAATATTGGGATACTAGTGGTTGTAAAAGCATATATCAGCTACCGATATGTTGTGCCTGCAATTTGTATTACAAATCTAAAACATCTTGGTGTGTAAACCCCTGTCAATTGCCTATGAAATACAGATAAAACTACACAATTTATCAGTACGGACTTCATTTAATAATAGCATTTGAGTCACTGGTGGAATTATTCTTTGATATATTAACCATTTATTGTATAAATGGTTACTTTTCAGTTATTTGAAATATTAATTATATAACAACACATATTCGTTGAACAAATTAACAATCACAAAAAGGTATGCAACAAGCAATAAGTACGAGAATGTCGGTCAGAGACCGAAGACTTATATGTAGACTTAATGAAGACTTATATGTACGCTTCAAACTTTACTTGAGGTTTTGTTTGCTTTCCCGATTCTATAATCAGTTACTTTTATTTTATCGTCTATTGCTGATTATGGAGTCGAAATAAACTTATACCTCTACATTTGTAATGAGTAAGTGTTCGAATACAGCATTTTCCCTGGTTGTAACATAGGCACAGTTCAATTGTACAGGTACCGTACATGTCTTAACATTACCATTGCGATGGCCTGGCCCCAAATATTCTGAGGCATGGCCCCAATTTATCTGTGGCTCCTTTTGTGTGGCCTGGCTCCAAAGCCACAAAAAAGTTATCACCCCTGTTGCGGACGAGAGGCCGTGGTTCGCGTTCGCCATGTGATTAAGCCGTCTTATCACTTTCCTCTCCACCGGGATAAATATGTAAATCCTATCCTATCCAGTACCGGTATTATGAGATGTCAAATAAATAATTTTGATGTGCTACCGGTACCGGTAGCTGTGCAAAACCGACCGATGCACTTCTGCACTTGGAGCAAGTAGTCTCATACCGGTAAGTCGTAATCACTATTCACTACCGTCACCGGTACGGTACCGCCTTGCCAGATTGTAGACTATGTCAGTATGTTCATTTCCTTTGACCACCTAAGCTATTTCTTTTTGTATCAGTATTAATATAGCCTACCAGTAATTACTCAAATATAAAATTTGAATAGTTTCAGAGTGACAAATGTCAAATTATCAAAGAACCTGGCATTGTCTGTACAACAATACCGATACCCTACATTAAAAATATCTGGAAGTTATTTCCATCATGGACATTTCGGATATAGTTTCAAAATCTCGAGATTTTGTTGATGATATTGAGAAACTTCGATGTTATTGGGAGAGCAAGACTCACTGGTACGTCAGAAAAACATTTCTTCTTCACAACTGGGATGACTTCAAGGATAAAGATCGTTTAATTTGTCTTTCTCAAGCATGGGTCAATGTTCATTTTGTGGAAATAGGTAGGTTTGTAAGTTCTATTTTGCAGAAACACTTCACATTCTGATATACTGAATCACAATTATTTAAATAGGTATTTTTATACTTGAGGGCTTCCCAATACAGTGATACCTCTGTAGTTGAACAATGCTATATTCGAACAATTAGGTAGTAGACTAAAGAATTTTAGTCAAAAATGTTGTGGTACTCGAACCGAAATTCGATGCTCGAACACCTGAGCATGCCACAAAGTTAGATGTCACTCGAACTGTGTATCTCGGCTGGCTCTCATCCTTCGAGTATTTATTAAAAATAATCAAAATAATTATCACTGCTATTAGACTACTTATGGTAAAAAAAGTTTTGAATCCTGAATGGATTATGTTCGACTACCGAGGTATCACTGTGTTTCAAAAATTTCTTAAACCGCTGTGTTCAAAATTCAAAAATTTCTTAACACGTTAAAATATTTAAGAAAAAGACGTCGTGTTTATCCTGGAGGAAAGATGAACTTAGAATCCAAGTTTTTAAAATAAAAGTGACTCAGTTTTTATTATAATATGTGATTTACTTATCTGCAGAGCCATGTTGTGAAATAATATAATTCAAGCCAAACATATTATGAATATTTAGCCACTTTTATTATAGATATCCCCAAGAAGTGATGGACACATTGAAAGATATGTAAGAAGGACTCGAACCTCCAGATAAAATGCTCCGGGATGCAGAGATCCAGGTGATTGGATTTGTTGGTGAGATTATTGATAAAAACGTGAACCATAGTATCCAGTTCTTGGACTACCAACCGGAGATCTTACTTGACCCATAGCCACGTTGACTTGAATATTATACTACCATGTGATGCAGTATGATGCGCTGTTTTATTGATAAGATACATTTCAAAAACTTTTGCCAAATCACCAAACTATTAATGGGAAAAGTCACTAGACAGCTATTTATTCGAATTGGGTCTTGATAATGGAGTTTGATATTTCAAACCGAATCTCAATTTTTTTTAATTCACAGCCGCACTTTTTATATACCGGTAACGTTTTGTACTATTCTTTAATGTAAGCTGAATTTTTGCTAGCATTGCAGTTTCTATATTAGTATTCAGCCTTAATGTTCATATATTTGAGTATTGCCCTGTTGATTACAATTAAAATAACACTTGAAGATTATTTTTATAATTACTTTTACAGATGATACACCAAGAATGAAAAATATGCATGATACTTCCAAATTACCACATACTATTTTCCAATGAGATTTGTAAAATCAGGCACAGGAAATACAAAAATATCTGACAATGAATTGTCATCAGATCAAATTGATGAACAATTAAGTAAAACAAAAATATGAATGTAAATAAAAGGCCAAATGAAGATGAAATTGAAGATGTGATAGAAATAAAACGAACAAAAGTTGATGGAAATATTACAAGTCAACCAGAGTCTCAAAAGGAAATCATTAATAAAAATTTTACTCAGCCAACATTAATTACGGATAGAGTTCCAACAATGCCTACGGATGCAACGTGTGTAAAAATTAATTTGAATTCAGAAGAATATGAAATGTTGAAAAATTTCATTATTCCCAAAAAAGTGAACGAATCTCCTTTATCTGTTATACAACCATCTACTTCATTTTGTCTCATCTCAGAAGAATATGTTTTTGAACAACAATACGATAATGAGGTTAATTTTGTATATTTATTATATTCATCTGAGTTTTCTTAGCCTGTCATAATCTATGAAACTTGAAATAGGAAAGGTATGCCCAAAGAACGTAATTGTAAAAAAAGTGAATCTAGTATTTCAAATTTCAATATCAGGGAAGAACAAATTAAATATAAATTGGTATGTATTCGAAATTTAGTATATTTTGGTATAGTTAATACTTCACTCTAAGAATAATTAGAATCCTTTCATTTGAAGAATTCATAATATTGAGCATTTGATATTATTTATTGGACGAAAAATAAACTTATTAGACTTTAAAAAGGGAATAGCGAACGATGAGTAGGCATATCACCAAATTAAATTTCTTTAAATATTTTAAATGCATTGCGCTTCATGCACTCATTTTAGTATATATTCTGTATTAAAAATTAGTATTTCAGAATGTAATAGAATTGGTAAATTGTTCGGTTTCGGCCTTCTCTAATTGAATTAACTTGTTAGAGATATTTTATCTTTTATATTCATTTGGTTTTTGGTCATCTGGACTCATCTAAAAATTTGAAAAAATTTCATATTAAATTTGATTTATATCACTACTGTGATTCATGTGCTTCGGAAATTGTTTTAATTTGCTCACAAGCGACATTTGAATTGTTTTCGATCAGCCGTCTGCTGATATTCTTTGTTTGTAATTGTCTATGGTTTGTGGGTATTGCTGGTGTTTATATAAGTTGATAAGTACTTGCATTGTTTGTAGCAAAGATCGTATTGTGGTTTAATCAAACTTTACATATGTTATTAATAAAATCATTCAAAAATTGACTTGTCTTTTTGTTCAGGTTATTAAAAGTCACAGTTGTTCATTATATCTGGGTGGTGTCTTAGTAGGAAAAGCATTTGCTAATCAGAAGAAGTCAGCAAAATATGCAGCTGCCTTTTCAGCACTGGAATTATTACAAACAACGCAACCAACTATATTAGTTTCTCAACCTGGGGATCTAGACAGTGCAATATCAAGGGATGACATCGCTGCGAAGTATGTCGATAAATTGTAGTACTTAATCATTGGTTTTTTACCAGTTTCACAATGAAGTCATTGAATGATGTAAATTTGTCATCAAACTTCTGATGGCCGTAACTCGAAAGTCTAAATTTCCATTAGGCGTTCTAAACAGATTGGGAAAAGTTTTTGGGTCCAAAATGTGATTTTCAAATAGTTAGGCGATGTAATCAGAAATTCAGACTTCTAATGGCCGAAACACAGAAATTGAAACTGGAAAAAGCATTGGGCATTATAAGCAGACTTGGAAGGGTTGCGTGCACGAAAGTTTTTTTGTCCAAAATTTTATTATCTGTGAGTTGGAGATGGAAGCAGAACTTCCCTCGATCCGGAGTCAAAGTTTTTTTCAACTATTGGAAGAACACTAATGTGTATAATCTGTATACTATAGAGCTTTTAGTTCAATTAATCATCAATTTGTTCTGCAATTAAATTCTATGAACATTCCTATAGTCAAAATATCATATGTTTAGGACTGGTTCTGTGGCTGGACAGAAAATATCAGATACAAATTTAGGAAATCAGTTGCTACGAAAGATGGGATGGAAAGGCGAAGGTGGTCTTGGGAAAACAGGTTGGTAAAATTTTTTAATTCTGTGAATCTGTGACTTTCTTATAATTATGCTATTTGCTTGCTTTTATGAAAGGTTCAGGAATATCTGCACCAGTAACTGTGAAAGAAACATATGGCAGATTTGGTCTTGGTGTAGAAGAAATTGGAAAAAATATAATAAGGTTTAGAGAAGCTGACAATGTTATCAGGTGCGCTTGGGATCTATATTTACTTACCGATATATTTGTGTGTTTATATGGCCATTTTACTGTCAAAAAATGCATGCAAAAAAGTCAGTTCCCTCACATTTTCTAGTAAATAATCACTATTTACCGTCTTTGGTATGATGACTTTTCCAATTTGATACCTAGTATGTTCAGTATACAATCAACTTCCACTAGGATTTTTGTTACAAGTTTACGTTTTTTTCCAGAAATTATGCCTGTTCACAAAGAACAGATCATCTTACATTTTCTCCTGAGCTTACAAACATAGAACGAGCAAAGATCCACAAACTCGCTAAAAAGTATACTTTGATTAAATAATGTTTTATGATTCTTAGTTACCACTTGATTTATCGAGCTTGAATCATATAAAAACAAAGTACTTCTTAAATACATGGACACAAAATTCATCAAAATTTGAACCCCAAATTAGCAAAATAACATGTGGGTCCTCGGTGTGTCCAATGATATGTTTAAATAAGCTTGATCTTTGGTTTGAATGTTTTATTCCAAACTAATATTGCATGAGTTGTATTTGCCTATCTCCTCAAAGTCGAATATATCTTACTGCAAGTTCAATAATATATATCCACATCCAGTAATGAACTTCAACATATTTGGAGGGTTTTTTCACTGCAATGCCCCCCTCATCAGGATCTGGATATGCTGGGAGTATGATTATTGTGTTAAAACTTGATGTAAACAAGTATTACTATATTACCAGTTGGAATTATTGTTTCTTGTTCAGTTTATCGATTTCACCCTGTTTTTTTTTTATCAATTCATAGGTATGGACTCCGTAGCAAATCATATAACAAAGATGATATCAGATATCTTGTTGTTTCAAAAAAATGTCTGCAGTATTGACGAACTGAAACGATCAGGTGGAAATATCAAAGGTGCTCACTTATTGATTCAAGACCAACCAATATGCAAGAAAGCAAGTGAAACATTTAGTTGAAAACAAAAAGCAGGAACCCATCAGAGTATAAACCCTTTTGAACGATTGGAATACTGCCAATAATACTCTGCATTTCTGTTGTCTCAGTATACGACAGAAAGCAGTCAGAAATATTAATATCGCTCCTGCTGTGTACTCGTATATTGCAAATGTTCAGTTACTTACATACAGACTTGGATGCAAGTGTTGTATGTGAAGCAATATATACGAAGTGAATATAATGGCAATTAAAAACACGAGACATTTACATAAAAACGTAAAAGCGCCATACGGCCAAACGAGCGAACTATAATCTTCACATTGAGAACATGGGTATTACATTACACCTCCTTACTTTATGATGAAAGAAATTTACTCAGCTTAGAAACATGCGTTTTGACACAGGGGGTTTGGAATATTTCATTTGTGTGTCCATTGAAATGAACTTGAATGCTAAGATTTCCAAATATTTTCATCGACAGGTTCCATCAGAAAATTTTACTCAGATTTTAGACAGAAAAATTTAATACAGATTTTACAAAACTAATAATTTTGTAAGGGCCATTCCATAAATAAGAAATCTTAATGGTTTCACTCATGGGTACAGCGTACAGGAGTATAAAGCATTACTTAGCTGTTATATAATATTTATACCGCTTTTCCTTAAATTAGTGAGATTTCACTAAACGCTCAAATTTCTTCAAGAAGGTTTCCATGAAGTATGATTACAAATCCACTCCGATACAAATATAGAAGTTATTGTACTATACTTTTGATCAGAAATCGTTAAAGTCGCCCAAAAATATAGGACCTACATTTTCTTTGCAAACAGGAACTGGATTTTTTTTCTCCAGTGACAGATCGAACAAGACGTAACATAATCATTCACGCCCTCCTATGATGACAGAAAATAATGAAACTTTAATTCGAGTCATATGATTTTCTTTTCACGCAAAATCTGATCGAGATTATTGGTTATTTGGATATTTTCCACGACATCGAAAATTTTCGTATGGTGTTCCGCGAAAAGTATTCTAGAAAGTGTTTCGCGGTCCAAAAGAAGTTGAAAATCGCTCCTGTCAGTGAATCAATACATATATATAAGTGAATATAATGAACAAACAATTGAAAATCCGCACACCAATATATTCAAATAATATCACCACACCGTTGGATGTGACCGTAAGCTCAGCAAACTGAGGGTGAAATATACCTGATTGCTCTGCGAAAATATCCTGTCTTCAACAATCTTCAATCACCAAAAATTTCACGATGAAACACGATATATATAATTTATTTCTTACTTGGAAGTTAAAAATACAGCAAGTTGAGATTATTGAGAGGCAGGGTCGAATTTAGACGATATGACCCGTAGAATAATTCATTTGCGAAGTATCCCTTTAAAAATGACGGCAAAAGCTCTTGGAATCAATTATGACGTCATAATAACCTTCAAATGTGGAAGCAGTGATCAAACGTGATAAAGGAAGTAAAAACAATACGTGTCTGGAAACAAGAGATCAATTCTCAAATATATGGACGCGAAAGCCACCGAAACGAGTCATTTCCCAATGATTCCTCAAAAATCATATGGTATCCTTGAACAAAACTGGTACTGTGCAGTGATTTCCCTACACCGATGCAGGCGGCTGGCAGAGCTCTTGTTTGTGCGAAACTGAATGAATCGAGCCCGAGAGAGGGCGAGCGAAGACGAAACGCAAAGCGCTCCGCCTGGCACTGCCTAGCGATGGCGTGGACGTCGCGGCCAGCGACTGTCGAAGCCGAGTACGGACGCAGGCGATCGCCTCGGTTTTAAACGAATGCGATGAGCACGCGCCGGGCGGCCCAGCAAAGGCCGAGCGCAGCTGTCGCAGCTATCTGGGCAAGTCTGGTGCCAGCAGCCGCGGTAATTCCAGCTCCAACAGTGTATGCTATAGTTGTTGCGGTTGAAAAGCTCGTAGTTGGATTTTGGGCGAGCGCCGCCGGTCCGTCGCAAGGCGTGTCACTGGTTGCGTTCGCCTCACCTTCGGTTCTCCGTCGGTGCTCTTGACTGATTGTCGGCGGTGGCCGATAAGTTTACTTTGAAAAAATTAGAGTGTTCAAAGCAGGCTGTTCGCCTGCATAGTGTTGCATGGAATAATGGAATAGGACCTCGGTTCTATTTTGTTGGTTTTCGGAGCACGAGGTAATGATTAAGAGGGACAGACGGGGGCGTCCGTACTCTGCCGTTAGAGGTGAAATTCTTGGATCGGCGGAAGACGAACTACTGCGAAAGCATTCGCCAAGAATGTTTTCTTTAATCAAGAGCGAAAGTCAGAGGTTCGAAGACGATCAGATACCGTCCTAGTTCTGACTATAAACAATGCCAACTAGCGATCGGGACCCGTCTTGAAACACGGACCAAGGAGTCTAACATGAGCGCGAGTCGTCGACTGGTTCGAGAATTGCAGGCGAAATGAAAGTGAAGGCGGCCGTTGGCCGAACGAGGTCGGACCCGGAGCCCCGTGCGGGCGCCGGCGCACGACCGGCCGATCGCACCCGCTCTGCCGGGGCGGTCGCGCAAGAGCGTCCATGTTGGGACCCGAAAGATGGTGAACTATGCCTGGGAAGGTCGAAGCCAGAGGAAACTCTGGTGGAGGACCGTAGCGATTCTGACGTGCAAATCGATCGTCCTATTTGGGTATAGGGGCGAAAGACTAATCGAACCATCTAGTAGCTGGTTCCTTCCGAAGTTTCCCTCAGAATAGCTGGCGCTTTGTCGCAGTTTTATCTGGTAAAGCGAATGATTAGAGGCCTTGGGGACGAAACGTCCTCAACCTATTCTCAAACTTTAAATTGGTAAGAAGCCCGGCTCGCTTAATTGGAGTCGGGCGCCTCGAATGCGAGTGCCCAGTGGGCCACTCTTGGTAAGCAGGACTGGCGATGCGGGATGAACCGAACGCCGGGTTAAGGCGCCCGACGCGACGCTCATC